AGAAAGGGTGTACAGTACTCTATTGCCTACCAAAGAAGAACTGCGACGGCGAATAGTGCGTGAAGATTTGGATCCTCATGAAATTCAAAAGGCAACCACGAGTCGCGCACAGAAGCATATTTTAAAATTTTAGAATGTAATGGACAATATTTCGAGCATCTATTGTGAGAATGTGATATTTTTCAAACTTCTGTTACTTTCGTTCCTCCTAATTCTGTCATTTTCTGTACTTTCACTGTGAATCTAGCTTTTTACCCAAATATGCTAGATAAGCTGATTTTCGATAGAGTTGTTGGAAACTTTGAGCCATAGTCCATGAAATTATTTTGTAATCTTGCAAACTTCCTCTTGTTCATTTGTGTCAATTCAGGATACATTTGGTTGAATTTTCTGCAAGTTCTGGCAATGATTTCATCACATTGTCTGTGTATGATAAATGACTTCATAAGAACTTCGTTTGAATAATCGATATTTGCGTTCATTCTGGGAGATTTTTTGAACCACTGTCAATAACAATTACTGAATTACTCATTAATGTCACCGAACTGTCATGAGTTTGATATTTCCATGGCTATCTGAAATTAACTTTTTCATAAAATTATATTTTTCACAAAAAGCGGCTTTATTAAGAAAACTTGATGATTTAGGTATAGGGACATGCTATGTCATCTTGTAGCATTTCAATTCGTCTCTCAATTTATTGAGTAAGAAACAGTGGGTTTCATTTGGAAAAATTAACTTTTGACCACTTGTATGAACAACGGATATAATAATAATTTCAGCACACCCTGTATGATATGGAGGCGACTTCTAGATGTAAATTGAATACAGCAAGCCTGTCCAAACCACCACTAAAATATCAACTCCTTATGATTCGAGAGCCCTGATTTACATAAGTTCAATGTTTTGGATCATATTTAACAAAAATTATTCTTTAGCCCGAAAACCGATAGAGATAGGTATAGGAATTAATCAACAAAAGAGTATTGTGAAAAAAAGGCAATTCTAAAAATTTGTTTATATACGGGGTGTTCTATTTAAAAAAATGAAGTTGCTAGGACTTTTTGATAGAAACGGCAACGTCGCAATTTAGGAAATATTGTTTATCGATAGAACAGGTGATAAAATGTGAGATGCGAAATTTTCAGACAAATCCTGCGTTGCGTTCTCCATAAACGTTCAACGTACCATCGACCGTGAGTTACCCTGTATATCTCGCATTTGAAACAATATCAACTTTGAACATTTTTAATCAAATTTTGAATTTTCTTTTTTCATTTTTCAATTTCTGAGTTTCGAAAATTTCGCAACAGATGAAAGGCGTGCTCGTTTTTTGACATGAAACGACAATATGTCAGACAGTAAAATCAAATGCGCTGTTAATTTCTGTCTCCAATCGTTATATTTCGGCGATATAAATATGGTATTTGGGAATGAAACATTTTATTATTAACATGCCATGATAATTGTCTGAAAGTTTTTTCTCAGTCACCATTCAATCTGGTCCTCAGTAATTATTTGGTTGAAAAATATACTAATTTTTGAACACCATGGGAAGTAAACTATCATACGCGAGAGGGCGTAGTTTAACGGTAGTTTTTAAGTCAATCTAGCAACGTTTACGAAACCACAGACTACTACCTACAGTTGGAACTGAAACGTTCCAAAAACCCAAAAATGATTGACCAAATTGGTGCAAAAAAGTGTTATGACAACGTTGTGTTGAGGTTGGCACGCGACTTATGTTTGGTTGCGCAACTTCTTCAAACACGTCGCCGTGACGTTAAATTGCTACTAGGGTTATTACTATACCGGGTGGCTACGGAAGTATTGCCTACGGAATATCTCAGTTATTGTATGAAGTAGGTTTGTGAAATTTGAAGCTTCGATATAATGACATAAGAGCTAGAATTTGAGCATATTGACATGTCGAAGTTATCTTCCGGTCAGATCGGAAGTAACATCAACTTTCTTATTTTAAAAGGAAACCCTATTTTTTTTCCTTTTCGCTTAATTCAGCATTCAATTCCCTTTCTAATGACCTATCACAAGTTGGTACATATCTAACCAGAAACTAGATCAGAAAAAAATTATTAATGAAATTCACCGAGTAGGCCGTGGAAGCAAAATGAAAGCCAAAAATTGAAAAGTTGGCTATGGAAACCATACGTCACTTGATAACAGTTGCTATTACTGTGATATTTTATTTTCATTCGTCGGCGTTATTAAAAGCCGTCAAAAAAAATATTGGAAAAATTGGGAAAAAAACAATACTCTGTAGGTCCATAACTTAAATAGGAACACAACTTTTTCTTGCCTGTACTATTCAGCACAACCATTCCTTTCTAATGATATAATAGAAAGTAATTTTTTGAAATGAAATACCAAAAATTCCAATTATTATTCTACTCGGTGAATTCCAATAATGATTTTTTTCTGATCTAGTTTCTGGTTGGCTACCAACTACTGATATGTCATTAGGAAGGGAATTGAATGCTGAATGAAGCGAAAAGAAAAAAAAATTAGGGTTTTCATTCAAAATAAGAAAGTTTATGTTACTTCCGGTCAGACCGGAAGTTAACTTCGACATGTCAATATGCTCAAATTCTAGCTCTTATGTCATTATATCGAGGCTCCAAATTTCACAAACCTACTTCATACAATAACTGAGATATTCCGTAGGCAATACTTTCGTAGCCACCCGGTATATTTCTTGTGTAACATACAATTCATAGTCATCGACAAGAATTGTCAGTGTCGGTATGACAATTGATGTCATCTTGATTTTGTTGTTGACATGAATTGTCAGTGCCGGTATAACATGAATTGCCAGTGTCGGTATGACAGTCTAGGCCATCTTGATTTTCCTGTAGAATGAATAAACCAGCTCTGTCACCTTCTTGGCTGTCTACAAACTGAGTGACGTTATGGATATGGTCTGTATTAGAGTCACTGGATGGTATATACAAGGTGAACTCAGAAATGCGTGGCGTATCAAAGTTATACTTTTTCTTATGGGACACCCTGTATTTCATTGCATTTTCGCGTTCTCCTTTGTGAGCTGATTTCATCAATGCATCACACTTGGGGTCTAGCGAGAATGATTACAGGAATATAGGGTGTTCAAAATCGAGATTTTTCAACTTTAGGATTCTTTAGCGTCGAAACTATTCATTATTGGTCAAAACGGCTTTCATGTCCCTATTTCAACTTTTGATTTACTATCTACTGACATTTAATTGAAACAAATACAGGGTGGTTCAAGATTGAGCATTCTGATCACCCTTGTATCTGTTTCAATTTGATGATAGGGACATGGAAGCCGTTTTGACCAATAATGAATAGTTTCGACGCAAAAAAAATCCTAAAAATGAAAAATCTTGATATTGAATACCCTTTATCTCTGTAATCATTCTTGCTAGACCCCAAGTGTGATGCATTGATGAAATCAGCTCACAAAGGAGAATGCGAAAATGCAATGAAATACAGGGTGTCCCATAAGAAAAAGTATAATAATAAATGGTAGCACACTTTACGAACTTAACGACAATTTTCTTTAACCACCTGTTTGACCGGAAGTGACCCCAACTTTTTTTTCTAAACATCACCCTGTACATTTCTTCAGTCTATCTTTTCCGTCTTGAAATTCTCTATCCAACCATGTATCACAAAGTGGCATTTATTTCTTAATTCGCTGTTGAATTGCTTTTTATTCAAAAATAATAAGTTGGCTGTGACATGAATTCGATGATATATCGACACTTGGTAGGCTTTGAAATTTAAATATGAGATAAAAAATCGAACTATACCTATGAAGATAAATGAATGAAATATAGCTTGAAAAACAAAGGAGTGAGTCTGTGTGTCACCCGGTACATAGAAAACTGACTATCAACGGACTGACAGTGACATCTTGGGAGAGATCAGCAGCATTATAGATCAGATTCATCAATCAATAATTAATACTTGTGTAAACCCAAAGAAATCTACAATTGAAAATTGTGAAGTTATTATTCATTCGTGATCCTAATGCGGTTTTTACAATCATCACATTTGCATTTCTTTGGAGTTTTTCCAGTAATGCTTATGCATTTTTTGTGATACCAGTGATCAGAACTCTGACATAGAATCATAATATCTCCAATACTTTGGCAATTTTTCCCTTGATGACAAGTTGACATAGTATTTTCGTCCCAGTAGTCATTTACTATATTTCTCAAATATTCAACCGAACATCCAGAAGTTGATCTGTTAAAATTTTCATTTAATTCAATGTCAATTAAGTCCGCCCTAATTTGATTTCTATAACTAATCATATAATTTTCCAAGTGATATTTCACCACATCGTCTTTACCACTTATTAAAATTTCACCAAACATACATACATAAGCGCCACAATCAAATGAATTATTTTGTTGTGGCAAATCTTTTGGAATATGAAGAATCCAACTTGATGAAACAAACTTTGATGCATCCATTTCTTTACAAATTTTCTACAATTTCATCAAGTAGACTATTTAGTCAGAAATTCCATTAGTAATATTCAAACTATCCAAATAAAATATTATTCTCTGTTTTCTTAATATTACTTTTAACGTACAATGTTCATTTTTCACAAACTCGGTATCTTCAAAAATATTGAATGCCCCTTTGTATAGAGCTTTCCAGTTCAATAAAATTCATGATGAAACTTTCTACACAAAATATAGTTACAGATGCTTTTGTCAGCCTCTTATGTACCAAAATTTGGAAATATACATCAAATACAGAATCTATAAAGTAAAGGTATCTAGCTGTACACGAGTCAATTTTTTCCCCAATCATGATATCCCTATTGAATTTCATTATTTTTTGAAATGTGTATTCACAATTGATCGAATAATTTTTTGAACGAATTGTTGATTCAGTACGCTTGTTTTCCGTATGATCATGTGTTTCAATAATTGATGCTCTTCTTGGAGTTGATTTAAATGGTGCAAGGAACTTCTCGAAAGTTTTACCATCTGCAGAGACTGTTGGTATGAAGAGTGTTGTTGAATTTTTGATGTCATCTGATCTCGACTTCATAAGAGAATCATTTGCAGCTTCAACAACAGTCATGTTGCCTGGCCCATGCTTTCTTCCTGCCCTGAAAATATAGATGGGTTTATTATATGACGTAGGTTTATTAGCTCATTATCATAATTCACCTATATTCCCTTTTTCTCTTGACAATTTTTGAAAGTTTAACATTCCTCTGCTCTTCTCTAATATTTCCAATGGCCAAATATGCAGCTTCCATATGATGACATTTCTTCTTTGCTTTGCAGGAACAATTTTCTTTGGGAAGGAGGGTCACTAAATATGTCTGCTTCTCCTTGGAAATGATGAATACTTGATCTTCAGGAACCAATCTCACTTCTCCTTGTAGAAGAATCATTTTGGCTGCACTGTATTTAGTGAATGGTTTATCTTCAGAATTTTCCTTCGGCTTCTTCTAATCTTTATTTACGAAAATATAGGGTAAATCATCCAAAGGGATATTAGAGGTTGGAAACTTGACAACTGAGAGGTCTTCGATCAGAAATGGTTTGTTTGTGGAATCCAGATGGAAGTTTCCAGTCCTACAGTATCCTCTGAGTATTTCTTTTTGGTAATAAAGATCGAGCTGATATAGACAGAGTGTGAGAATATGAGCTTTCACTTCTTTACGATTCACTAATCGCTTAAGCTTATCATTAAAGCGTTCGGAAGGGTTAATTGTTATACCGCTTTTCGACGTATACAAATTATATTTTTGGAGAACCCATTTTCTTTTTGCCAATATATCATTCATGCGATATTTATTGAAATAATCAAGAAAAGCAAGAGTCCACTGCGTTCTCATCAATTCAAATTTCTCATAGAAATCATCCAAGCTCTCCGAATCAAGTAAGTTCCAGACATATTTAACATATGTTTTATGGTCATCTTTCTCACTATTTTTCTGCTTTTTGAACCATATTCGTACATCAGTTTTGATATGGTTCCAACAAAAAAAGTGCTTTGAATCTGGTAATACAGTTTCCATCGCGTTTGTTATAGCCGCTTCTCTATCTGTCACTATACAAGTGGTTTTCTTGAATGATAGTTTTCCTTTCATTTGATTAAAAAATGTTCTGTGACTTTACGTCGTTTTAGTATGGTGGATCAAATATGCCAATGGTATGACAGGATCATCTACGAAATTGTTATTCCTGTATGTGAGTGGACTTACATAAAAATCCTCCAAGTTGAAAGTGGTATCATATTACAATACTACTCTATCATTTAGTCTTCCTAGTTCTTCAAATGTTGCTTGGCTGTACCAAATTCTGGAATGAGTTCGAGTTTCTTTATGAAGCCATTCAAATCTTCGTTGATGAGGTATAATCCTATCAAGTCATCATCAGACAAAAGTTTTCGCCTTCTCTCATTCATAATGCTGTTTTTTACTTGAATTTTATCTCTCGGTGAGAAAACCTTCATTTGAGCTGGATGGATATCTTCAGCTGTTAATTTTTTATAAACCGTCAGAGGGGCATTCAGTAGGGACGTCTTTTGTTTCGCTAATTGGGATTTTGCGGTCGTGATATGTTTTCTGTCGATGTTTTTTTTTTCGGTTACCATGAAACTTAAGGATTACACTTATCATAGAACTAGTATAATGTATCAATACAATATGTTCCGATTTATGTTTATGAGGATTTAGTAGTACATACGCCCTCTTGGAGAAATTTTCCCCCTTATAAGTATGGAAGTATGTACATAATAATTCTGGATTTTTTAATGGTAACTGTTTTGTTTCCATTTGTCTCCATCTGTGTTGGTCCGCTCTCCAATTGGAGTTTTCCTGAACGAACGAAGATTTGAAAATACAGATGTGTGATGGTTTAGGTGATACTGGAGGTTGGAAGCATGTTCGTGTTTCATCAAAGTCCACTATAATTATAAAGTATTCTTCTATACTCAACCATCTCTTCGATTTCATAAAGGGTTTCGGAACTCCTTCCATAATTCCTGAATTTGGATAGTCCATGGAGAATTTCAAATGTAGCAGACACAAACAACTCAAAATCGTTTTTCAAAACACAAGACAAAATTATTCACAATTCACTAATAAAAATTTATACGCATATACCTCGAATGTAAAGGACAAAGTGACCACATTACGAGTATATATGTAATAAGGAACCCTCAAGATGCTCAGGTCGCGGGATTATCTTTTCTAGGATTTTTTCTTCCGATTTCCGGTAAAGGTAGATAAAACAATAGGATAGAATAATGTACCTATGGAAAAATACACGGGTGTCGTGGTTTCCAAGAAGGTAAGGAACATTTCAACACTTTAGGTCTGTAAGATAGGAAGATTAAAACTTTTGTTCTTGTATTCTCATGAGATAAATCGATCTATGGTGAAATTGAGATGATTTGACTCTCAAAAATACCCAGTCCGCAAGATTTTATGAAAAAACACAAGAGTAAAGTGCTCCCCAGGGGAACTGTGGAAAAAATTCAAAAACTTTTCATCGTGTATTTTCATAGAATAAATCGATTTATGGTGAAATTGAGATGATTTGACTCTCAAAAATACCCAGTCCGCAAGATTTCATGAAAAAACACAGGAGTAAAGTGCTCCCCAGGAGGGTCACAGGAAAAAAAACTGAAACTTCTCATCATGTATATCGGTGAGCTGAATCCAGATATGCAATAAAAACATCGAAAAGTTTGATGGAAATAGCCAGTCTGCAACATTTTATTCCAGTTCGCAAATTATACACACCCAGCATACAAAAACATTGATATGTAGAACAGAAATTGCATTGGATCAAAAGCTTTGTGACCAATTTTTTTTTTTTTTTAATATCATATACACAGGTATTAACAAAAATATCGGCACAAACTGCGAACGGCCACTCTTCGTCAGAGAACACTATGAGTTCGAATATATTATATTTTCCTTGAAATGAGATTTATATATTTTATTTATTTTATTTTATTTTATATATTCAGGAATACAAACAGGACGAGCCTAAAAGCAGTATTCACAGGTAGTCATAAAACATTATGATTATTATAATACTCAACTTAGAAATTTAGTGGGGAACCTAATTTAAACTTAGGATGGTATACAAAATTTTAAAGAAATTTAAAAGAAATATAATAAATCTGCAAGGTGCTAACGAGGATTCAGAGGTTCGAGAAAAAGTATGTTTTGAGTTTATTTACAAAGGTGGTAAATGAATTACAGAATATATCAATATCAATCAGATTTGATATTGAATTATAGCTTTTGAAGCAACGATGATGGGGGGAATTCAAATAGTAATTTGTGTTGGCCGCTTTTGTGTGAAATAATTGATGACTTCGAGTGGGGTATTGCGGTACGTTATATCGAATGGAATTATTAATTGGGATTGAGTCTATCATATTATTTACCAACTTAAACGAAAATTTTATGTCGGCAATATCTCTTCTATTTTCGAGACTAAGTAAATTCAACTTTCTGCTTATAAAAGTTTTATCGACATGAGGCGTGTTACGGAAGTATTTATTCTCAATATAGTGTATGAATTTGTTTTGAATATTCTCTACTTGTTTTATGTAGATAATGTACTGGGGATTCCAGATTGTAGAGGCATAACTTAAGGTGCTATTGACATAGGACATGAAGAGGATACGAGCAGTTTTAGGATCTTTAAAATTATAACACGATCTGATGATGAAGCCTAGGGTCCTATTTGCCTTTTTAGAAATATATGCAATATGCTTGTGGAACAGCATTTTTGTATCGAAAATTATTCCCAAATCTTTCACCTCAGTGAGAATATCGAGTATATGATTTGATAGTCTGTAATTAAAAATGATTGGATCATTATTTCTACTAAAAGTGATCTGATGGCATTTGTTAAAATTCAAATATAAAGCATTTTCTGTGCAATATGAATAAAGTCTGTCTAAATCTTGTTGGACCAAGAAAGCGTCCAGTGGTTTTTTTACACTGTGGAAGATCTTTAAATCATCAGCATACATTATGAATCTCGAGAACTTGAAACATTTAGAGATATCATTTATGTATAAATTGAAGAGGAGGGGTCCTAGATGCGAACCTTGAGGTACCCCGGAAGTTATGGAAATTGTTGGTGATACATAGTTTCCTATGGTTGTTGCCTGAGAGCGAATGCTAACGTATGATTCAAACCAGCTCAAAAGTGTTCCACTAATGCCAACCTCAGCTAGCTTGAGTACAAGCAAACCATGGTCTATCTTGTCGAAAGCCTTGCTAAAGTCGGTGAAAACTGCGTCCACTTGATTCCTATTGTTCAGGTTCTCGAGTACGTACTCAGTATAGTCAAATAAATTTGTTTCTACTGATCTTTTTTTAATGAATCCGTGTTGTTCGATGTTGAGAATACGAATGATGTCATAGCTGAGAAATTCGAATATTATTGATTCAAATAATTTGGCAAGGATGCAGAGTTTTGATACTGGCCTATAGTTCTGAACTAATTGCCTGTTTCCCGACTTATGGATTGGGACAATGAATGCCCGTTTCCATATGCTTGGAAAATATCCTTCTTTCAAGGATTTGTTGAAAATTATGAACAGCGGCGTGGTTAGGCTTTCGGCACAACTTTCAATGAGCTCGCTGGACAAATTGTCTGGTCCAGGCCCTTTTTTAGGAATACTTTTAAGTTTTTCGTAAATTTTGTCTACTGTAATGTGATAATTATCAATATTGGGTGTGTTATAATTTACGGCTGGTCTTTTACTTACGTTGGTCAATGGTTGATTGAAGGTTGATGAAAAGTGTTCTGAAAATATATTACAAATGTTTTGACCATCATGAACTATGTTTCCATTGTGGCATATAGTGTTAATTCGACTAGAAGTATTTTTCCTATTCTTCACAAACTGCCAAAATTGTTTCGGCTCTGCAACGATGTTATTTTCACATGACTCTAGGTACCTTTTATAATCTAATGAAATTAAGTATTTTGAGCGCCCCCGTAAAATTTTGAATGTGAGGTAATCCATATCATTTCGATAATTCTTCCATAAGGTATGATATTTGTTCTTTTCTTTTACCACCTTTATAGTACTCAACGAAAACCAATGTGGAAATTTTTTGTACAATTTTGGATTTTTCGGAACATAGTTTTCAATAGCTTTGTTCAATATAGTGTAGAAACATGTCAAACAATCCTCAGTATTCTTATTCTTGAAAACATGTATCCAATCTGCTTCAGATAAGAAATCATTAATCGCAGCGTAGTTTGCCCGATTGAAGTTATATGAATGAAATGTATTCTCAATCTTGTTTTGTCGTTTATTTGTAGGAACGATTATGCTGAATTCCAGAGTATTATGAAAATTATCTTCGCGAGTAATTGGAGATTGACATATTTCTAAATTATGAACAAAATTACAATTATCAAAAATAAGATCAAGGGTGTTTCCAGAAACGTTGATATGATTGTTGTATTGAGAAAGATCTCCAAATGACATAGTGTCCACAAGCAAACAACTGTTTACATCATGATAATTAGATGGTTGGGTAATTTTGTTCGTATCATCAAATATCCATTGAATATTAGGAAGGTTAAAATCACCACATAACACTAATTTGTCGTTTGGATGATTAGTTACAATATCAGCTAGTTTAGAACAGAATAAGTTCAATGCTGTTGTATCACATGGTGGAATATAGACACAACACAAATGGAATTTTATTGGAATATTGTCACCTGTATCCAGAGCTACAGTTACCCATAGATCTTCCGAGTCGGATGACCACTCCTCTTGAACAAAACTGTTGAATGATTTTTTGATGGCAATCAGAACTCCCCCTCCTTCTAACTTGGTGCTCCTGGAAGTTTCACGATCTCTGCGATACACATTATAATCCTCGTAGATTACCTCACTGTTATACACTGAACTGTTGAGCCATGTTTCCGAAAGGCAAAGAATATCATAGTCACAAGCTTGAGTGTTCGAAAATGTGGTTGATAGCTTTGATTTTAAACCTCGAACGTTCTGATAATAAACAGTTATGTCAGTAGATGCGAATGAAATTGAGAAATAATGTTAATTTGAATAAGTGCCTGTAATCTCATTGAGAATTACTTCAATTTGGCTATGTCTTCTTCGTTAGTGATGTTCATCACCCTCGAGGTATCATTTTTCCTTACAAGTATGTTGCCATTTCTCACCCACACGAATTTATAATTGTTTGACTTGGCAGCTTGCTTTGTATTTTTCAGCAATAACTTCAATTTATTCGTGAGATGTTCGTTGATGAATAGCTTGTTTGAAATATTTTCAATGACTATTCCGGGGGAATTTGTATCATTTTTGGCACGTCTTATATTCTTTGTAGCTGCAAGTATTGAGTCTCTTTTCAGTTTGGATAGAAATTTGACAACTATAGATTTCGGCTGTTGCTGATCACTTGACGGATGTTGAGCAACACGATGAACAGTGTCCACATCTTGCGGAAGGATAGGACACTGAATGTGCTCCCCAATTTTTGCCAAAATATTCACCAAGTTTTCATTGGATTTCTGTGGCACTCCTTGTATTTCTATATTGTTTGAACGTGTTTGTTGTTCTAGTATGTCCACCTTTGTGGTTAACCGTGTTAATTCGGATTTGAGATTAACATTCTCTCGATTGATTTTCTCGATTGTTGCAATTTTTTCATTCAGTTGATTCATTGCTTTTTCAAAAGTACTAATTTGGTTACTACAAAAGTTCACAGACTCCATGACATCTTCATATTTGTTATTTAATGATTTCAAGTTTAGTTGGATATCCTTCAGGATCAGTGTAACTGATAGCGGTACAGAATCTGCTTCATCTTTTTCGTTACCTTCCATGGTGATCACAGAAGATCTTTCATTAGTTTTGTCTCTGCAATCCGGGCAGGCCCAATAAGCTCCAGGTACAAGAAAATTGCTTACATCTTGTTTGGATAAACCAACACATTTTCCATGGTAGAACTTTTGGCAACGCCCTATACATTGCAAACCTGGTGATTTCGCATTCACGCTCGAGGTACAACGTTCGCAGGTCGGCATCCCGAGATAAGACAAGTTCTACTTTTTTCTATACTGTGTGAAGGTCGGACCTCGAAAAGAAATATTAGGCAGCAAAAAATATAGGCATATATTGGCACTGTATGCAATATGAATATAATTAATTCACTTGTTCTATGATGTTTTTGTTGGTCGATCACGTTATTATTCAACTAGACAATTCGAAAACGTTTTTGCGCATTTAACGTGAAGATTTCACAAAAAACTCGCGATAAATTCCCACTAATTTCGACTGTAAACTCGGAGCGTACATACGGCGTGTACGATCACGACGAACTTATCGGTTTACGAAAGATTAAGAAAATTATTTATTCCAATAAGTATGAAGATCGATACCAAAGGGCGCCACACAGCTAAAATATTAGGTGAACATTTATCTGGCTAGCTGTGGAACCAAATAAATCTGTATAAAGTATATTTTCTTATAACTTACCTTAGGTATTTATTAGTGAATTTGCTCATAGAAAAAAGGTTGCTTGAAAAATCTAAAGTGTTTGGCTTGGAGATTGTTGTGTGTTTATAAAAAAACATAAATGGTGCTCACAAATTTAATAAAACATTTAAGCTGCAAAAATGGGTGCTCAAAAATAGCAACACAACTTCAGATGAGTAAAGCAACCAATATATACTGAAATAATTGACGGTTGTGAAGATGAAATTACCCATGTGAACTATATACTTCATAATGTGTGTAAGGAAATATATCATATATCAAACCTGATGATTTTTACCAAAATACGCTTTCCCATAGTACTATGTTGATGCTTACATGAAGATAATTATGTTATGTGAGTATTATGATATTCATGGTGAAAAGATATTGGTACTAAAAGTTATGTAAAAAATATAGAAAATAAATCGATCACATCCGATTAGTGAAATAAAAAATAAAAAATGTCAAGTTGCCTGATCTGAGCTTCCATCCTCTGCAGCCGGTAAAAACAGATGGCTACTCAGCCTGGTGATTTGGAGCACCCCCTCAGCACATGAACCCGACGAACACAGGGGGGAACATGGGCAGCCGGCGAGCAGAATAACCCTTCATGGTGAGCTGAGTGCTTTCTCCCTTCAGGGCATGCCTTGGATCCGGATGATTTCCCATGTGAGCAATTTGGGGAAGCAGGATGATCATAAAGTGTAAAGACTTGAACCTTTCCTTGAACCCTACAAAAATTTTCCTATATGAAGAGCCTATCCAGAACTTATGTACAAAAAAAGCGGTCTATATAGACTCGAGCCATAAAAGAAAATCGCAATTTTCGCCACAATGGCAAGCATACCTTCTGAGAAGGGTGAAATCAGAAAATATCCGATTGAAACCGGTGGAATGGCGTCTCGTACTTCGGTTATAACATCATCTTCGAAGAAAATCTCGGAAGGCAGTTCCAAAATATCATAGCCAGGAAATTTGGCGATTCTCAGGCAAATGGAGCAGTTTGGGTTGATCACTCCCATTAGCAGATGGCATCAACGAATCCAGATATAATCTGATCCGCCACAAGGCAAAATGGCGTTCACCAACACACCACTCTCACACACAACCGAACCCCTTCAGAATTTGACCAGAAGTGCCTAACCTAATTAGTTAGTCTCGTTTCTGACTTGCCTCCCTCCACGAGCAAATTTGACATGGTACCCATTTTAGTGGTGTTCATGAATCCAATGAAACGTCAAACGCAAATGACGTCATGGTTAACCAGAGCCAAATCTGAAGACATTTCGAAATTCCACCTGGCAATACTGTTTTATTTCCGCAGAAAGAGACAGACAGCCGCGGGAGATCGACAGATGATAAGCATGCTGAAAAGTGACACCACCTGACATATTGACACTGTCTACATAATCATAACCTATCAAAAAGAAAATTATTATTCAAAATAATCAACACATGATCGGAAAATCTCTATACAGAAAACCTCAAGGAACCACTCAACTATGATTGAGATATCAAACCAGATATATCGTGCAGACCCAGTAGCATATCACATTCCTAAAAATGGTGAAGGAGAAAAGTCATTTTAGCGGTGTCCGCTAAAAGGAGGTCAATCCATTAACCATATATTCCTTGAACAAAAACAATATGACTTTCTAAATACCATTTTTCATTTCAACCCTTCACATTCGTTATACAGGATGTCAAAGTTGGAAATGGTAAACTGTTTCTTTTTTAAATACTCGCGTATTCAATGAGATATTAATCTCAAAATTGGTACATTACTTCAGCACGAAGAGTTACATCGTGTAAGGAAAACAAAACAGAAAATAACAGTCAAATATTTAAAATACTGGGGATCAAGTACACACTGACCCCCATATTTTTTGTACGTGCGCTAATGACTTCCTATCTATTTTTCTTCAAGATAAAATCATTTGTTTTTAAGATAATTCGAAAAGTACTGGTTATTGTTTGATGCCTATGTGGCTTACGGTAATCTCATAATGTTCACATACTCCTATTTATTTCGTCGAAATTGGAAGAGGGCGTAACTTTTTATGTACGAAAAGGTAAATATGGAAATACCGGGTGCTCAGAGCGAATGTATTAAAACAATTTTTACATCAACTTTTTAAAAAATTTTTCGAAATCGGTTTGAAGGGATTTGGGGGCTGCGGAATTTTTAAAAAATATTTTCGATACCCTCCCCGTATGGTATGTCGGGCGCGAACGAACGGGAAATAAAATCGGAACAAATTCAAAGAATTTTTTTTCGGAAATTTTAGGTGAAATTATGATATTAATGATTTCAATAGCTACTTGATGAAAGAAATAGCAGATCAGGATTGTCTGGGGATATATGAAAGATTTTGTGTATAAGCCACATACTTTTCAAAGGCTGAGATTTTCTTTAATTTAAAGGGCTCGCATGTGTATTCAAAATATTGGAGGTCATATCGAGCAATTTATGAAAACGTGTTGAATTTCTATCAATATTTTTTACGAGATTATCGTAAGCCGCATAGGCATCAAACAATAACCAGTACTTAGCGCACGTACAAAAAAAATATGGGGGTAACTGTGTACTTGACCTGCAGTATTTTGAATATTTGACAGTTATTTTTTGTTCTGTTTCCCTCACACGATGTAACTCTTTGTGCTATAGTAATGTAGCTATTCTGAGATTAATATCGTATAGAATACACGAGTAATAAGAAAAAAACAGTTCTCAATTTCCAAATTTGACACCCTGTATATCGAATATGAAGGGCTAAAATGAAAAATGGTATTTAGAAACTCATATTGTTTTATTTTCAAGGAATATATGGTTAATGGATTGACCTCCTTTTAGCGTACACCTTGTATAGGGTTCAAACCATTACCTACTTTCTTTTAGTTTCCGGAGGAAATTGCTAACAGTGGATATCAAAGAAAGATCCCAGCCGAATAATACGAAGCGTTATTCGAAGAGATCAGAGATTGATAATGATTTTTACCATCATCACATCATGATGTTCCGACAGACCTTCTATGGGAAATAAAATCATAGAATTGTCATGTTCTCCGAATATAATATTAATATACATGGTAAACGGTAGGTTTTATTTGTTTAATTATCGATTAATTACGTTTCTGATTCATGTGGTAGAGGAAATTTGTATTAAAGACTCCCAAGAGTAAAATGAAAAGTTCAATTCACAACATACACCTATATTCTGGGTTATTATATATAATATCAGAGGCTAAAATACAAATCACCTTTACTGAATAATATATTATAGAATATCAATTTGCTATATAAGGCGATCCAGAAGAATGATTAGTGGAATATTGACTTGATTATTGCACCTAAATCTTGACTGATCAATTCAAAAATTATATACTTAAAATATAGTATAGCAAAAATTCATGCTACACCCTGTTTATGACAATTACCAAATATCGGAATAACGAATCATCGTGATACATGGAGTGAGTAGTGATAATAAAATATACGAAATATTGATAATTTTCAGCAATAATTTTGAGAGCTTTGAAGTCGGTTCTGCTTTCGTTGATTATAATGATTATACATCGTATTCAAAACTTCAAAGTGACTAAATTCACCTTATCAGCAAAAAGTGAAATCTGTAATTTTCTAGTTGTTTCAGAGTCAGAGGAACAAGAATAATTACAAATTTTATTGTCAGATAGCTGATAACTATCGGAACATACCGAGTTAAATCATGTAAATCACTTAATGACGATCTAAACATATTAATCAACATAAGTATGTACTCACATATTCATATGTTGCTACATAATGTTGAACTCGAAAATAATAGGCTTATTCGATTTAACCATGGAATAAATTACTACATGATGAACCGAACATTTTTGAATACACGTGATATTGCTGTTACTGAATATCAGGATATTGCATAAAACGTAATGTGCCATAAAAAATTAATAAGACATCTTTATCGCCATTATTGCTTCGCTTTTCCTTCATTCTTCAAATCAAGTTCTTGAGTTCGCATTCGTTTTCGGTGTTCTCTTTCATTTTTGATTCCTTATTCAAAACGTTATAGCGATTTGAATGGAATCTGAGTGAAATGTACAAATCCTCCATCAACAGTTTTTTATCGCTTGGAGCGCACGAAAGGGAATCCCTATAATGTTCAAAGAACATCGTGCGTTCCTAGGGAGGATAGGGACAGGAGGTAGGTATTGGAATTTTTTTGAACTTCTGGAGATTATATGTTGTTGGGAATACTTCCACAGGCAATGAATTCCAGAGCTTGTATTCTTTGAATCAATAGAAAAATATCTATAAAAAGATGTTATTCCACCTTTAAACCTCTCACAATTTTCCTTATTCGAATCGAGTTCAACGGACAGTGAATTCAGAATTGGATGATTCACAGATCCAAGAAATACCTCAAGTGAATTATATGGAAGACTTGAAAATATCAAGCTCATTTTCCATTTTCATCACCCACAATCCATCCGACACCACCGTTACCATCGATATAGTCTCTACGGAATGAATTGAATGAGGGCTAGA